GTTTTTACGTTTCCGAATAGCTGTGTTTGAAAATCGTAAATTTTGAAACACTCCCTGTATATCAAAAACGAAGAGGGCTATGAAAATCTGGTTTACGCCATTGTAAGTTTCAGAAAAAAGTAGCTCAGGTTCGCGAAAGCCGCAACTTTCTACCTTTCATAATAACTGAGATACCCTGCAAACCCATCGAAATTTGGACACTCTGTACAGGGTGGTTCAAATTCGATGTCCAAATCGGCTACCTCGGAAACTATATTTGGACATCGAATCCTGTACAGTGTGTGGTAACATTATGTAATAAATTCAATAAAACACTTATAAACATTATTTTGCAAAAACGGCGAAACAAGCCTATTTTGATTTTTTAAAACACACATTATGTTCAATTTTGATATATTTTTTGAGAAAGCTAATCACCTTCCATTATTTTCACTAAGAATTTTTATGCATGATTTATTTCATTATGATGTTTCATAGTTAGATTTATTTGACCGGCTGAGGATGACTGTTTAGTCGAAACCGGTACCGAGGAAATTTAATAAAAAAATCAAGAAAGAAGTTATTTGTCTTTTATTTCTTAATTATATACAGGGTGTCTCAGCGAGACCGGTCATTAGACGTTTCTGGAGTTCTGGCGAAAATAAAAATTTGAGAATTCAGACTTAAGTATTATCAATTACGATCTCTTCGACTAAAATATTTTCAGATTTCTTGCACTTCCGGTTGTACCGGAAGTCGCCACCTACTTTATTTTTTTAAATGGAACACCCTGTATATTTTTACATATTTGGATTTGTCTATTTTCAGGGTTTATAAATAACTTTACTTTTTGCAATTTGATACGGCCGTTCTCGAGTTATTCGAATTTTTCAAAAACATTTGTTCAAAAAATCAGAGAACACTCAATTTTGGGATATCAATTTAGGATTCAGAATATGCTTAAACAACATGATGGAGTATGTTTTGGTGCCGAGAACGGTTATCTACAACGTTTGGTCACTTTACTATGGTACGTTAACTTTTCAAAATTTGGAAGTACCATAACTTCATTTTTTTAAATGGCACCCCCACATTTTATTACTTAGTCGTCTTCGGCGTCTCATTCTACATCTTTTATATCCCATATGTCCCATACCTAACATTAATAGTTTAGGAGATAATTAGGGTCTTTTTGAAAAATGCACACATATCATATGGATATTTAGCCTAGTGTGCCATGAAAAAGAAGCCTTCTCAATGAGTTCTTGTCAAAGACTCACTTGTTTACGTCACTTGATGCATGTGAGCAAATAATTATCTGTTATGTCCCTTAATATTAGTACTGAAAAGAGTTAAAATCGATAACAATAACGAAAGTAATATGTACACAAATCAAGAAATTCTTATTTTATTTTTTATTCCTAAAAAACGCGACAAAGTTCGTAGTATGATTCCTAGATCTTCTTTGGCAGCTCGAATTGAGGTATTGGGACTGGGCTCGAAATAAGCCAAGGCATTCACCTCTTCCGTTGCATTATCTACTACATTTTTTGGTCAGTTTAACACGTGATTAATTCGTCCAAAATGCAAAAAATTTGCTTCTATTCTTTTAAATTTATCTTTTGTCATCGGAGGTAAATGCGGATAATTTTCATTAAACATTCTGCAAGTTCTACTAAGAACTTTGTCGCACTTTTTGTGCACAAAAAATAAATTATGGATTTCTTTATTTGTATAATCATTATTTACGTTATTAATATCCATTTTAACTGGTTTTAGACTCACAAGCATCAAACAACGTAAATCAGACTTTGACGTTTGTCAATAAGTCATTAAACATTTGTTTTCCATGGCACACTAGGTTAATATCCATATGATATGTGAGCATTTTTCAAAAAACCCTAATTATTTCTCAAACTATTAATGTTAGGCATAGGACATATGGAATATAAAAGATGTAAAATGAGACGCCGAAGACGACTAAGTAATAAAATATGGGGGGTGCCATTTAAAAAAATGAAGTTATGGTGCTTCCAAATTTCGAAAAGTTAACGTGTCATAGTAAAGTGACCAAACGATCTAGACAGCCGTTCTCGGCACCAAAACATACTCCATCATGTTGTTTAAGCATGTTCTGAATCCTAAATTGATATCTCAAAAATCGAGTGTTCTATGATTTTTTGAACAAATGTCCGCTGGAGCAGATTTTTCTAGAAAAATTCGAATAACTCGAGAACGGCCGAATCAAATTGCAAAAAGTAAAGTTATTTATAAATCTTCAAAACAGACAAATCCAAATATGTAAAAATATACAGGGTGTTCCATTTAAGAAAATGCTAGAAAACTGAAAATATTTTAGACGAAGAGAACGTAATTGATAATACTTAAGTTTGAATTCTCAATTTTTTATTTTGGTCAGAACTACAGAAACGTCTAATGACCGGTCTCGCTGAGACACCCTGTATAAATGTTGCAACATGGATTCTATCACATTCAACATTTTATATGTTGTATAACCAATCTCGTGCCTCGCCCGCAAGCGACCTCGGCTTTAAGCATTTTAAATCGTTGATGATATACTTAACAGTCTTCAAAATGTATATAAATCTAGTGCCTCGGCCGCAAGCGACCTCGGCTTAAAATTTGTTTGATCGTTTTTGATAAACACAACAAAATTTTATACAGGGTGATTCATAAGTAATGGGCCAAATTGTAAATGTACGTTCAGGAGGCCAAAATAATAATATTTTCATTAACAATAATGGGTCTTAGTCTGCTCCTTACTGAGATACAGGATGTTAAAGCGAAAAAAATAAAATAGATTTTTGTTAATAGATCAGCTACTTTTCTACATAATGACTCATAGTTGACTTATAGTTTTTGTAAGGGTAAACAATAATGTGTGAGAGGATTTGAGTTAACTCGTAGATGTCGCCACATGCGCCATATGAATTATGAAACGTCAATGAGCTTTTACGTTTAATGAATAGTTTAAAACATTTTATTGTTAAGTAAACTGATTCATTCTTGTCCTAACATAAATCAAAATGCCGAGACATAATCACTTTTCAAACGAAGAAATGAGAGACATGTTATGCGTTTACGCACAAGAACGTTTTTCTGGGCAAGCAGCATCCAGAAAATATCGTGAAATGTACCCTTACAGAAGGCAGCCAAACCGGAAGATATTTCAAAATATTTATAATCGATTGGGTGAAACAGGTTCATTTCGTCCAAAATATCATACAGGACGTCCTAAGATTATCACTCCGCAGCAAGAAGATGAAATTTTGGTAAGAATTGCGCAAAATTCTGAAATAAGCACTCGTCGATTGTCTGCAGCAACTGGAATAAGCCAACCATCCGTGACTAGAATTTTACACAAGGAAAATTTATATCCCTATCATTTTATACCTGTGCAAAATTTACTTCCAACAGATTATCGAATCAGAGTTCAATTTTGTCAGTGGCTAAAAGGAAAATTGAATAATAATCCAACATTCCTAAATAACATTCTTTTCACGGATGAAGCAACCTTTACCAGACGCGGAGTTTTTAATTGGCGAAATAGTCATGCCTGGGAAACCGAAAACCCTCGTTTAAAAAAAGATAGACATTTCCAGCACGAGTTTAAAATAAATGTGTGGTGCGGTGTAATAGGCAATACATTACTGGGCCCAGTTGAATTACCTCCTAATTTAAATGGAGAGTCATATTTAATTTTTTTAAATAATGACTTAGTCGACCTCTTGGGAGATCTTCCATTACAACTAAGAAGAAATATGTGGTTCATGCAAGACGGTGCTCCTCCACATTTTTCACGTGCTGTGCGCGAACATCTGAATGAAACATTCCCTCACCGTTGGATTGGACGTGGTAGTGAATTTCAGTGGCCACCTCGCAGTCCCGATTTTAATCCACTTGATTTTTATGTGTGGGGTTACATGAAATCAATGGTCTATGCTGAACCTACTATAAATACACGAGACGAGTTATGGAATAGAATTCAAGATGCAGCCAATTCAATACGAAATAATCCTGCTACATTTTTTAAAGTCAGACAATCCTTAACCAAACGGTTAAATGCGTGTATAAATGCTGGTGGTGGTCATGTTGAAAACCTTTTGCAGTAGCTCATAATTAAGCTTAAATTTAATTTAACTTCGCACAACATTAACATGTAGGTTTTGATAACAGTTGTCGTAAGTGGTCTTAGTTCAAGTCTGTTCTAATGTTGTATTTCGTTTTATTAACTGGCGTACAATAAATTGTTTTATTACGTAATTTTTTTATGGTTTCAGTTTAATATTGTTATCAATTATCAATTACGGTTAGGTAAATGTCAACATTCCATGCCATGCTTGTGTCTTAACAGATTAATGCTACGTCGACCACCGTGAAATGTAGTGTAGTGAATTAGTAAAATTCAAATATCTCGAAAATCGTTAATATTTTCAAGATCAAAGAAGTATAGCTTTTTTCTACAGAAATGATGGGGCTATCCAAATTAAACAAGTATGTTGTAAAATAATGAGCGATAAAAAATTTGTAGCTGATTTCATCTAATTCATATGGCGCATGTGGCGACATCTACGAGTTAACTCAAATCCTCTCACACATTATTGTTTACCCTTACAAAAACTATAAGTCAACTATGAGTCATTATGTAGAAAAGTAACAAAAATCTATTTTATTTTTTTCGCTTTAACATCCTGTATCTCAGTAAGGAGCAGACTAAGACCCATTATTGTTAATGAAAATATTATTATTTTGCCCTACTGAACGTACATTTACAATTTGGCCCATTACTTATGAATCACCCTGTATATTGTATAACCAATCTCATGCCTCGGCCGCAAGCGACCTCGGCTTTAAGCATTTTAAATCATTTATGATATACTAACAGTCTTCAAAATGTATATAAATCAAATTTTATATGGTGTATAATTAATCTCATGCCTCGGCCGCAAGCGACCTCGGCTTTAAGCATTTTAAATCATCAATTATATACTATAATAACTTTAAAATTTGTATGTCTAATTATTTAAGAACAGAAATTTTCTATATTTACACTAAATTTAGAATTATCTTCATTTGATTCTTTCCCTAAAAGTGTATTTATTATTCGAAGTATCTCGAGCAATATATTAGTTATTGAAAGATTAATATTATCAAAAAAAATCGTTTTCACCCCCTTACAAATGTTTTTGGCAGCGCTTTTTTTAACGCACCCCACACAACACGCCCTGAATATAAATCGGTCTTCAGTGACAGGTCGGTTTGTCTACGTGTTCGGAAAACGAGCCGATACAAGCCGGTTTAAATCTGGCGTAAAAAGGGCATATAATGGTAGTTGCAAAATGTTTGTGAATCGACTGCGGTTGAAATGGTTGAAACGGTTTAAAAACTGATTTATTTGGTGATTGACGCAACGGGCCCAAAATTTCTAACTCAGGTGATTAATTCAACAAAATCGAAACGAAACGAAATAAAAAATTGCGTATTTCATCATCGAAAAGTGAGAGATCAATCTATACATCGACGTTTGGTGAATCGCGATTTACTTTTTAGTCGCTAAATTAACACTCGAACCATTTCATTTTAAAGGGTAACACAGACACATCGAATTATCTCTTTTAAAGTTTTCAAACTTTCTTTTTTTTTATACACTTTATATTATAAAACACTTCACTGATGTGATTATTAAAATTAAAAATAATAACACCGTTGTCGGTTGAAATTGCGTTGATGAACTGCTGAAAGGGAAAAATCCCTGTTGTTTGTTGCCGTAAACCGCTGGTTGAGCTGACGGTTCAACCATATTTTCTATATCTAAATTTTTAATTTTAGTGAATCGTAAAAATGAGATTACAAATGAAAGCCAATCTATCGGATAGATTTGAAATGGCATTTCAATCCGCTACACAGCTTTCAATTCTCAAAGCGAAAGCTCTCGCTCTGATAAATAACACAGTTTATCGAACAAACGCGCAGACAATACGTCATTAACACTATTTCCAATCTGGCTATTTCACTTTTTATCATTTCACAATGAATCAACGGATAGATTGGCATCATTTTTATTTTTTTTTTGTTAAAATTAAACTTACCGTTTGATCTTGTGGTGAAATGAAACGTCGGTGAAATCTTATTCCATCCATGGGCGTTTTTAGCTTGAACTCTAACTTCGTAACTGGTTCCCGGTTGTAAATTCTTGAGCATGTGGAAATCTCGTTGTCTTGTAACTCCGGGATACGGTGGTAAAACAGTGTTAATTCCGCTCGTTTTACTTAAAACGATACTGTTCCAATCATTCTTGTACGAGACGAAGGAGGAGTTTGATGATTCCGGTGTGTGGTGAGTTCTTCGATGTCGCGATTGTTGCCTGAAGAATAATCTATATTCCAAGATGGCTGCGTGGCTACTAACCGACCACGATATATTATAAGAATCCTTTTCTGGGCTAATAACCGGAGAATCGAAAGCGGCAATCCCAGCGGTTCCAGTTAAACTTAAATGACCGCGGTTTTTCCCATGAACGTTACTCGCAACGCAACTGAAACAATAAGAAATTTTAATTGAAAGAAAAAAATTTAATTAACCGATTTGATATTCGCGGGATAATTCGTTCAAACACAACACTCGACGTGTTTGAATGAATTGGTTTGAATGGAAATGGACCGGTATTTCTACATAATGTATTTCCGATACAGAAACCATACGGTTCATTGGCCCATAAATTAGACTGGGGGAGAGATTTAATAGACACGGAATCCACGTCCTGACATGTTTAATTAATCGATCGTTTTGATGAGTTGCGATAACTTCGTTTCGGTTGATTAATATTGACATATTTTGGTGTCCTCGGTATGTTTACGACTAAAGTTTTTACACTAATTATAATCCATAAATTCTGGATTTAAACATTAAAACAATAAAATTTAACGTTGTTTTCAGGTGTATTAATCAAGATCGAACAAGTTTGAAACCGAGGTCGCTTGCGGCCGAGGCATTAGTTAAGTGGATAAATTTTTAGATTCTTGTCTGATGTATAATCAACGATTAGAAAGTAACAAGCCGAGGTCGCTTGCGGCCGAGGCAGTAGTTAAGTGTACACATTTTTGATTTCTTATCTAATGTATAATCAACAATTAGAAAGTAAGAAGCCGAGGTCGCTTGCGGCCGAGGCAGTAGTTAAGTGTACAACTTTTAAATTTTTATCTGATGTATAATCAATGATTAGAATGTAACAAGGCGAGGCGCTAGGTTTGATACACACATTTATCATTGACGATTTAAAATGCTTAAAACCGAGGTTGCTTGCGATCGAGGCATTAGATTGGGTATACAATATACAGGGTTTTTCGGTGACTCAGGGAAGAAATGTAACTCAAAACCTGTTTATAATACATTTATATCTCTTAATACATCCCGTAATATAAATACGGCCTTATAAATCAATAATTAATGTGTAAATTTTATATATTTTATATATTTATACAGGGTGATTCACATAAGAACCGACACAGAGCAGGGACATATAGAGGACAATAAATTAAGATGATTTAAAGTAACTTACCTACATACATTAAGCTAGAACAACCAAATTTGGTATACGTTATGAGTGTACCAAGGGTATTAATTGGTAGCAAATTGAACTCAATTGAGGCATTTCAAAGGGTTGATTAAGGGTGATGGTACCATAAATTTTGACAGATTTTTTTAATCTTTTGGCGAATTTAATAAATTACTACTTCACTTCATGTGGAATTTAATTCTAAAACTTTTCTTACTCTTATTATTTTTTAAAAAATTTTGTCGTTTTCATAAAAAACTGAAATAACTAAAGACACTTATTTCGTAATTTTACTTAAAAGAAGCGTAAATTCAGTAGTCGGCTATGAGATTGTACGTCAAACTCGACAAATAGGTTATAAAGTTATTTGACAACAAGGTTTTATAACCTATTTGTCAAGTTTGACATACAATCAAGCCGACTACTGAATTTTCGATGATTTTAAGTAGCATTAACGAAATACGTGTCTTTAGTTATTTGAGTTTTTTATGAAAACGACAATATTTTTTAAAAAATAATAAGAGTAAAAAAAGTTTTACAATTAAATTCCACATGAAATGAGGTAATAATGCATTAAATCCACCAAAAGGTTAAAAAAATCTGTCAAAATTTAGGGGACCATCACCCTTAATCAACCCTTTGGAATGCCTCAATTGGTCTCAACTTGCTACCAGTTAATATCCTCGGTACACTCATAACGTATATCAAATTTGGTTTTTTTAGCTTAATGCATTGCGAAGATATTCAATGTTTTAAAAATTTAAGACTCAACTTTGAAGGCCTATAACTCCTCAGGGGTACAACTTAGTATAGAGATAAGTTGCGTTAAATCATCTTAATTTATTGTCCTCTACATGTTCTGCTCTGTGTCGGTTCTTATGTGAATCACCCTGTATATTTTTTTTTACATTTTTCTTTCATGATGTTCAAATACATAGTTACATAAATACCTTAGCTTTAAATCCTTTCATGCATAATAAAAGGAGATATGTTATAAAAAATTAAATTTGCGCCCGCAGGTTAAATTAAATTACAGATTTCTAAATTACCGTACATTTTTTTTGTATAGTATTCACTTTTGGACCGTACACCGTACATTTAGTGGAATTACTGTACATGTGCGGTAATTATCGTAGAAATTGCAACACTGGCTGCAAGCCTGTACGATCGTCATTAACAAACTCGAAAAAATGTTATACATTGTGTACTCAATCCAATACCTCGGCCGCAAGCGACCTCGGCTTTCAGCATTTTGGATTGTCAATGATGTACTTGAAAACTTTAAGAGTTGTGTACCTCACCTAGAGCCTCGCCCGCAAGCGACCTCGGCTTATTACTTTTTAATCGTTAATGATATACCAGAAAGGAAGTTAAAATTTGTACACTTAACTACTGCCTCGGCCGCAAGCGACCTCGGCTTCAACCTTGTTCCATCATCATTCATAATTTTTCATAAACCTAATAAAATTAAAGATGTTGTATACCTAATCTGATGCCTCGGCCGCATGCGACCTCGGCTTTTTACTTTCTAATCGTTAATTATACACCAGAAAGGAATGTACAAGTTGTACACTGAATTACTGCCTCGGTCGCAAGCGACCTCGGCTCCAACCTTGTTTCATCATCATTCATAAACCTAATAAAATTAAAGATGTTGTATACCTAAACTACTGCCTCGGCCGCAAGCGACCTCGGCTTTAAGCATTCTCGATCATCAATGATATATGATATACAATAATAACTTTAAAATTTATGTACCTAATCTACTGCCTCGGACGTAAACGACCTCGGCTGTCCAACTTTTTCCGATTTCTTCAGATTTTTGTAAGTTCACACTCATTGATATATCAGTACAAACAAAAGCATCAATACGCACTGTTTTATTGATCTGGTTCAAATAAACTCTTTCAACCTCGTTATTATTTTGAAATGGTTGATTTTACTTTTTGAAAAAAAAGTGATGCACCCAAAATAGAAAAAAAAAAATGGGAACTGTGGAAAACCGTAAAACAGCGATGCCTGCAACTAATTGCACTCGGCACACAAATCAAAACTTCACCAAAAATCCCGCGCGGGAAATTAACTCCAATTAAACAGTAACACCGCCATCGTAGAAACGTTGGAAACGGAAACGCGACACGAGGGACTTTGCTAATTCGCTCTAATTAGAAACCAGTTATGAGCGGTTACCGCCGGCAAAAGCGTAAATAACCCTTGCAGGATATTAGAGGGTCCCGTTTAATAAAACTGATTAAGAGGGGGTCGTAATTACAGTTTAACCGCGGGCAAAACGCCACCGCGCCGAGTGTCACGGTTTTAGTCCGGGGTTTTACCTGTAATTTCCGAAGTCGGCCGCCGTTACGTTCCTTATTACCAAAGTATAACGATTGCCTCTGGCGTGGGACGCGTGTTGTTCCGTTGTTCCTAGCTGGGCGGTATCCTTGAACCACAGCACCTAAAACCGAACAAGAACACACAAACAAGATAATTGAATGCACCACTAAGCTTTTACAAACCAACATTGTTTACAAATTAAACTACGTAAAGGAGGGGTAGAAATACAAAGGGATTAAAAAACTGTTTGAATTGGATGATAATTCAGGATTTCAACTAGATGGAAGGAAAACTAGTTTATCGCTACTATTCCAACAGCCAGAAAACATAATTCATTTTTATTATAGTTATGATTACTTTATCTGGTACCGGAAAAAGCAGTTGGGAAGTAAAGTTTGCCACTTTTGTAACAGGTCGTCGCAAGAGAGCTTTATCCAAGAAAAATAATTCGAATAAAAAAATGTATTTTCTTATTTATTCATCGATTTTTTATACCTGAGGAGATGGTTCCGCGTGAACTATACAAACGAGGAGGGCTTCTAATCCAATTCCTGTATGCACAACGGAACGCTCAGTTTCAACTTCAGGCGCATCTAAATTAAAAAAATTAATTAATATAAATATTTAATTTTTTTTGTTAACTTACAAAGAACATTTAATGTAATATGTTTCGTATCGGGTTCCCCAACCCCATTTCCAGCTGAACATTGATATTGCCCGGCTGAGTGCCTATCGGCGTGTTGAATCGCCAAAGATAATCCTTGCACCGTTCTTTCCCCGCTTGGCAGAACGTTATTTTTTCTCGTCCACGCAACTGTTGGTACGGGATTCCCCGACGCTCTACATTCCATTTTAACGGTGGCTCCTTGTAGGACATCCAACGAACCGGTGTGAGAAACGTAGTGGATTCTTGGTGGAACTAAAAAAAAATGTTTTTCCGTTAAATATATAGTTTAGGCTCAAACAGAAGTCACGTAAGTTGGGTTATGCGTGTTGAAAGGTAGTTTAATATTCCTGTGGAAGTAATAGGTCGTGATACTATCCCATTTGTATACACAGGTACATACGAAGAATGAAGGGGAAAGAGAGAGAGAAAGAGAAAAGTGGAGATTCGGAAAAATGTGGTAATGTAGCAACCCCTCGTTACTCGATGCAAATGCCACGGTTACTTACCCCTAACACGCAAAAATACCTCCGAGGTCTGGTCGCAATTACGCAGAAATTACCGATTAAATCCGGGGGCTTTACTCAGCAATTTAACCAGCTTGAAATCACGACGAATGTAAACAAACTGCAGATTTACCACCTGACGCTGAATCGAATCGTTGATTTAGCAGTAAAAGATTTTTTTTAATTAAATATTTAATTACTGAAAACCACGGTGGAATCAAATTCCTTCATTAAATCCGATATCTTCTCGTCAATTATTTAGGAAGAAGCTTTATACTCATCTCCCCGTTGTCCTCTTGCACGTTCAGGACTCCCCCGAATACACCGCCCGTAACTAGTAAATGTGAGCGAGCGACCTATAGGGGATCCCTCGGGTTGAGACGTCTTAAATGAATTTTAGAGGTTTAATTTGGCTCAAGGTGCCCATACACGTCCGCCTGGTTCCTTCTTAGCTGACGTCGTAACCCGAGCTACGTTGGTTTATTGCACCCGTTTTAAGGGTTTCATATGTAGGCCCCTATATCTCACCGGGTCCTGCCACGTTGAGCTTTATTACTTTTGCTTAATTGCTTCCGTGAGGAATAATTATTTTCAGCACCCTATCTCGATTGCGAATGAAAATTCTTACGACTTATATATAATTAGAAAGAATTAAATAAGATTTATTTATCTTAATCGAAATCTTAACAATTCATTTTAATAAAATTGTATGAGTTATTATATTTGATTAAATGAATTAACTAGGTTAGAAGTTAAGGATGATAACAATCTGGCAGAACATTGGTAGCGGGAGAAGAAACCCTGGTTTTGACAAGAGGTTAGAAATCTGGCAGAATAGCCATAAAGATTTCTTGATTTCTATGAGCTCCATACCAGTCAGAGTCCATATAACTTGCATGGGGTTTAAAGAAAGTTTTGGAAAATTCTCCGAATTCGAAAGAAACCACTTATCCACCATGTACAGAAATATGATTTCAAAGGGAGATAGACGCTGCTATAATTTAAGATGTAAGCTGGTAATCAAACACTGGAATTTTTCTGCTTGAATGTGCACTGTTTGGTCGAACAAATTCTGAGTAGATAAAACGAAGATCGTGAGGACAATTTCAAAAAAGACCATATAAGACAGAATTAAGAACTCCTCTTGACATAACACCGTCCGTAGAATGCCATAATAACCTGCCAAACACTATGTGTTACAAATAAACTACATGGAAGGAGACAAAATATGTCAGAGGAAAACCTAATCAGGAACAACAAACCCAACGATCTGAGAGGTAAAAAGAGAAAGAAGATTGGCAGAAAGGAACCATACATTTTTAGAGAATGAGTTATTATACGCCAATATGGTATCAATGTAGCGCCTCGGCCGCAAGCAATTTCGGCTTAATGACTGTAAATGATGCATTTAGTCATTTTTGTTAAGATGTCATCAAATAAGAAGTACATTTTCGGGTTTCGTATTGATATGATATCAATGTAGCACCTCGGCCACAAANAAATGATGCATTTAGTCATTTTTGTTAAGATGTCATCAAATAAGAAGTACATTTTCGGGTTTCGTATTGATATGATATCAATGTAGCACCTCGGCCGCAAACAACCTTGACTTAATAACTTCAAAACAGATATTTTTTTTTAAAGCTGTTCTTTTTGTAAAAGTAGAACCTCGACTGCAAGCCACTTCGGCTTATAACGAATTATCAATGCTTAGGCGTATAAGAATCCAGTGAGTTATCAAGATAATAGTATTTAATACCATCAGGAATGATATAGGGTTCACTAAACAGTTCTTTTTGTGAATCTACAGCCTCGGCCGCAAGCGACCTCGGATCATAACGACATATCAATGCTTTGGTACATAAGTAACCAAGACAATGATACTTTATATCATTAGAAATTACATAGGATTAAAATATCCTTTTTGGAAACGGTCTGAGAGGTAAAAAAAGAAGAAGATAAAGAAGATTGGCAGAAAGGAGCCAAACATTTTTAGAAAATAAGTTATTATACGTCAATATGGTATCAATGTAGCGCCTCGGCCGCAAGCGACCTCGGCTTAATAACTATAAATGACGCATTTTTAGTCTTAATGTATAAAAAAATTGCAGAGCACTCTAAAAAGTGATTTTTGTTAAGATGTTGTCAGATAAGAAGTATATTTACAGGTTTCGTATTGATATGATATCGATGTAGCACCTCGGCCGCAAGTGACCTCGGCTTAATAACTTTAAATAAGGTATTTTTTTTCTTAAACTGTTCTTTTTGTAAAAGTAGAACCTCGACTGCAAGCCACTTCGGCTCATAACGAATTATCAATGCTTAGGCTTATAAGAATCCAGTGAGTTATCAAGATAATAGTGTTTAATACCATCAGGAATGATATAGGGTTCACTAAACAGTTCTTTTTGTGAATCTACAGCCTCGGCCGCGAGCGACCTCGGATCATAACGACATATCAATGCTTTGATACATAAGTAACCAAAGATACCAAGATAATGATACTTCATATCATTAGAAATTGCATAGGATTAAAATATCCTTTTTGGAAACGGTCTGAGAGGTAAAAAGAGAAGAAAAAAGAGAAGATAGGCAGAAAGGAGCCATACATTTTTAGAAAATGAGTTATTATACGTCAATATAGTATCAATGTAGCGCCTCGGCCGTAAGCGACCTCGGCTCAATTGCCATAACTGAAGCATTTTTAGTCTTAATATATAAAAAAATTGCAGAGCACTCTAAAAAGTGATTTTTGTTAAGATGTTGTCAGATAAGAAGTATATTTTCAGGTTTCGTATTGATATGATATCGATGTAGCACCTCGGCCGCAAGTGACCTCGGCTTTAAATAAGGTATTTTTTTTCTTAAACTGTTCTTTTTGTAAAAGTAGAACCTCAGCTGCAAACCACTTCAGCTCATAACGAATTATCAATGCTTTGGCATATAAGCAATCAAGGATATCAAGATAATGATACTTCATATCATTAGGGATTACATAGAATTAAAATATCCTTTTTGTAAACGGTCTGGGAGGTAAAAAGAGAAGAAGAGAAAGAAGATTGGCAGAAAGGAGCCATACGTTTTTAGAAAATGAGTTATTATACGTCAATATGGTATCAATGTAGCGCCTCGGCCGTAAGCGACCCCAAGTGACGGCTTAATAACTTTAAATAAGGTATTTTTTTTCTTAAACTGTTCTTTTTGTAAAAGTAGAACCTCAGCTGCAAACCACTTCAGCTCATAACGAATTATCAATGCTTTGGCATATAAGCAATCAAGGATATCAAGATAATGATACTTCATATCATTAGGGATTACATAGGATTAAAATATCTTTTTTGTAAACGGTCTGGGAGGTAAAAAGAGAAGGAGATAAAGAATATTGGCAGAAAGGAGCCATACATTTTTAGAAAATAAGTTATTATACGTCAATATGGTATCAATGTAGCGCCTCGGCCGCAAGCGACCTCGACTAAAATGCGATAAATGACGCATTTTTAGTCTTAATGTATAAAAAAATTGCAGAGCACTCTAAAAAGTCATTTCTGTTAAGATATTGTCAGATAAAATGTACTTTATTTTTGGGTTTCGTATTGATATGATAATATCGATGTAGCACCTCGGCCGCAAGCGACCTCGGCTTAATAACTTTAAATAAGGTATTTTTTTTCTTAAACTGTTCTTTTTGTAAAAGTAGAACCTCAGCTGCAAACCACTTCAGCTCATAACGAATTATCAATGCTTTGGCATATAAGCAATCAAGGATATCAAGATAATGATACTTCATATCATTAGGGATTAAATATAGGATTAATATAGGATTAAAATATCTTTTTTATAAACGGCATGGGAGGTAAAAAGAGAAGAAGAGAAAGAAGATTAGCAGAAAGGAGCCAAACATTTTTAGAAAATAAGTTATTATACGTCAATATGGTATCAATGTAGCGCCTCGGCCGCAAGCGACCTCGGCTTAATAACTATAAATGACGCATTTTTAGTCTTAATGTATAAAAAAATTGCAGAGCACTCTAAAAAGTCATTTCTGTTAAGATGTTGTCAGATAAAAAGATAAGATGTTGGCGTATAAGTATCCAGTAAGTTATCAAGATAATAGTATTTAATACCATAATAGGGTTCATTAAACAGTTCTCTTTGTGAATCTACAGCCTCGGCCGCAAGCGACCTCGGCTTATAACAACAAATCAATGCTTTGGCATATAAGCAATCAAGGATATCAAGATAATGATACTTCATATCATTAGGAATTCCATAGGGTTCATTAAAATATCCTTTTCGTAAATCTAGAGCCTCGCCCGTAAGCGACCTCGGCTCAAAATGAATTATAAATGATTTGTCATATGAATAATCAATATGGTATCAAGATAATGGTATTTAATATCATTAGGGATGATATAGGGTTCATTAAATGGTTCTTTTTGTAAATGTAGGGCCTCGGCCGCAAGCGACCTCGGCTCAGAATGAATTATAAATGATTTGTCATATGAATAATCAATACGGTATGAAGATAATGGTATTTTAATATCATTAGGGATGATATAGGGTTTCGATATAATATTAATGTAGCGTCTCGGTTTAGTTAGTATAAATCATGCATCTTTTGTGTTAAGTGTAAAAAGAGTACAACACTTTTTAGAAGTCATTTCTATTAAGATATTTTCAGATAAAATTTTTCATATTTTGTATCGATACGGTAAAAATGTAGCGCCTCGGTCGTAAAGCGACCTTCAAAAACTGTCACATTTTGATGTTTTGGGGTCACATTTTTTAGAATATAATAAAATAGATTAGTTACTTACCTAATATTTCAAGGGTGTGTGTAATTTCTCTTGGTTCCATCGTTCCAATTTGACAAACATAATCTCCAGCATCTTGTGGTCGGACGTGTTTTAATTCAAGGCTATAGCTCCCGCCAGAAAATCCAGGAATACCTGGAAGATTGGCGTTTCCGGTCGAAGAGCCGGGTAGAAGACTGACCCTAGGATCGGGAGTGACCTTCACCGGACCAGCTGTTAGGACGGCTATTCCCCTTTTCCAAGCAAGAACGTAGCTTCCTGCATCAATAAGAAAGCAAAAAAAAAGTAAGAAAAGAGATGCTTTTGTAAACCGAGAGTAAACGGGGCCGTTGTAATTGGGATTTTTTTATTAACGGTATCTTTAAATTAAATCAGTCATAAAGCGGGGCGTTTAATATCACGGCCGTGCCAAAAACAATGGGGCGAACGCCATCCCTATCGATTTAATTAAAATATTTCGCCTCGCAACGGCAGAGACTTTGATAAATTGCTTTGGGTCAACGTCGGTCGTTTGACGGCGGTCTTTATCTACTCTAGAAATTGACATTATAAATATTTGAATCCTCCTCTCGACCCGGGAAACAGTTTTCATCATCGTCCCCGAAGGAAAGTTGCCAAGTTTTTCTTTTTTGTATATTTACGAAAATAAAAAGGAACTTGGGAAAGGCGGAAAAGGAAAATTTATTTTTTTTTCTTCGCCTATACAATCAATTCGTAAGGGAACAAAAAGAAATCCCTTTAGAAGTTATTTTCAAGTGTGACACGCATTAACTTCGAGACGTCTTTCCCTCAAACGTGCTGACGTAAACGAGAACTGAGAATTTTCTCAATACGATGAATTTAAATTTAAATTTAAATTTAAAAGATTGTTCCCTCTCGGAAACGGGACGGTACGGTATCGGCATGTTTCTTTTATCCGGCTGCATATCGGTGAATATTAAAAATGTGAAATATCGGATTGGCACAGCAGGTGCACCAGACGTTTTATCCGGATACAAAAAAAGGATAAACTTTATAAACGTGACAGAAAGTCCCAAAAGCAGGTGCTGTTGATATTATATAATATTTAATAATAAATAATAATTCTCACCTGGTTCGGTTATTCTGCATGGTAATACGACGGTGCTTCCGGTTGCTATCCTATAGGTTTGACCTGGGGTTACAAAATTTGGGACGCGCTCGTTGACTGGCATGTCCATGTCGTTCAAATTCTGTCCTGGACAGCCTGAAAAAGAACGAAATCGACCATTCAATTCAACGTCCACCAGTTTTCATCGTTAATTTTCGATTTTTACAGCTCCCACCATCATATCGAAACGAACTCCCGAACTAGTTTTGGAGGATATCGTACTAATGCGATCTGGTTTTCGCACTTCCGGCACGTGATTTCGTTAAGGGGACACATATGTGCGCTTATTGACGAGCTTTTGAAGCGTTTCGTTTCGCGACGTTGGTCGATTCGCCATAAAACGGTACTAAACGAGGATCACACGGTAACTCGATTTTTATTACAACAAAAAAAAAGATTATTAAATTCTATGGGTCTACCTAAAATCTAACCCGATTAAAATCCCTTATTTAAACGTAATGCGTTTCTATAAATAAACAACGAGTTCGATACATATACATTCGCGTTGATTAATGATGAGTGATTAAAAAGTAGGAACATACATTACGTTCGTAATAAACAATGCGAGCGTATTAAATCCGGACAGCTTAATAGCTAATCGTAATTTAGTGTTCCCAGTGCATTTTATTTAATTATACCCGTATTCGTGTTCGAGTAAAATAACCGAATACGGACCTGCTTTAATATTAATATGAGTGATTACCTCTTTGACCATAACGTAATCGAAAGATGATGGCGTGCAATGAAACTATCTACCATACAATTATTTCGCTATTAAAGCGATTTTGTTCCATAACAAGATTTCAATTAAATGTTATGTAAGTCTAGTCTATTCAAAAAGCAGAAAAAAATTCTTGAGATATTCTAATTGCATAACAGCATCTTGGAAAAGAAGTCATTTTACTTGCACATTATGGCATTATATAGGCAGTATATATCTTCTGCCAAAAGTATTTAGTCTTCCGTAACCCGTATTAAGACAGTATCTATCTTCTACAAGCAGCTTTTAGTCTTCTACCAACAGCATTTAACTTTCTATAATCAGGCTAAAGTAGTCTCCAAGATCACCATATTAAGTTTATTAATGAAAAGTATATATAAAATAATTTAAATATGATGCAATTATATTTTATTAAGGCTTCGGTGCTTGCAAATATATATATATACTTTTCATTTCTATAATTAGTTTCTAGATTATTCCAAGCAGTATCTAATCTTCTATAGGTACTTTCTGTCTTTTGCAAACAGTTTATGGTCTTCTGCCAACAGTATTTCACCCTCTGAAAGCAGTTTCTAGTCTATTGCAAGCAGTATCTAGTCGTCTATGGGCAATATGTCATCTGCAAGCAGTTTTTGATCTTCCACCAGCAGTACTTAACCTTCTGTAAGCATAAGTACATTTGTAATTTGTAAGTATTGTTGTTTTTTTAATTTAAATTGTAAGTCTTGGCCTTGTTTGTTTTGATTGAATGGTTTTACCCTGAAGAAGGATTAAATTTTGTTCCGAAAACTTGGTTAAAAGAAAAAAGGACAATTTCTGTTTTAATTCCCTTGCACTGGTCAATTCTTAATGATCTGTAGCAATTTCTAGTCAATTACAAACAGTCTCTAATCTTTTAGAGGTAGTATCTGTCTTTTTCCAACAGTATTTTGTCTTCTGCAAGTAGTATTCAGCCTTTTATACGCAGTATCTGCTTTCTGCAAACTCTTTTAATATTAAACCAACAGTATTTAATCTGTTGTAAGCAGTTTCTAGTCTATTACAAACAGTATTTAACTTTCTGTAAGCAATTTTTTGTCTATTGGAAACTGTGCTAAGATTCTGCAGACAGTATCTATCTTCTACAAGCAGCTTTTAGTCTTCTACCAACAGTATTTAACTTTCTATAATCAGTTTCTAAACTATTCCAAGCAGTATTTAATCTTCTATAGGTACTTTCTGTCTTTTGCAAACAGTTTATGATCTTCTGCAAACAGTATCTAGCCGTCTATGGGCAATATCTGTCATCTGCAAGCAGTTTTTGATCTTCCACCAGCAGTACTTAACCTTCTGTAAGCAAAAGTACATTTGTAATTTGTAAGTATTGTTGTTTTCTTTTATTTAATTGTAAGTCTTGGCCTTGTTTGTTTTGATTGAATAGTTTTACCCTGAAGAAGGATTAAATTTTGTTCCGAAAGCTTGGTTAAAAGAAAAAAGGACAACTTTTGTTTTCATTCCCTTGCACTGGTCAATTATTAATTATCTGTAGCAATTTCTAGTCAATTACAAACAGTCTCTAATCTTTTAGAGGTAGTATCTGCCTTTTTCCAACAGTATTTTGTCTTCTGCAAGTAGTGTTCAGCCTTTTATACGCAGTATCTGCTTTCTGCAAACTCTTTTAATATTAAACCAACAGTATTTAATCTGTTGTAAGCAGTTTCTAGTCTATTACAAACAGTATTTAACTTTCTGTAAGCAATTTTTTGTCTATTGGAAACTGTGCTAAGATTCTGCAGACAGTATCTATCTTCTACAAGCAGCTTTTAGTCTTCTATCAACAGTATTTAACTTTCTATAATCAGTTTCTAAACTATTCCAACCAGTATTTAATTTTCTATAGGTATTTTCTGTCTTTTGCAAACAGTTTCTGATCTTCTGCAAACAGTATCTAGCCGTCTATGGGCAATATGTCATCTGCAAGCAGTTTTTGATCTTCCACCAGCAGTACTTAACCTTCTGTAAGCATAAGTACATTTGTAATTTGTATGTATTGTTGTTTTTTTAATTTAAATTGTAAGTCTTGGCCTTGTTTGTTTTGATTGAATAGTTTTACCCTGAAGAAGAATTAAATTTTTTTCCGAAAGCTTGGTTAAAAGAAAAAAGGACAATTTCTGTTTTAATTCCCTTGCACTAGTCAATTCTTGATGATCTGTAGCAATTTCTAGTCAATTACAAACAGTCTCTAATCTTTTAGAGGTAGTATCTGCCTTTTTCCAACAGTATTTTGTCTTCTGCAAGTAGTGTTCAGCCTTTTATACGCAGTATCTGCTTTCTGCAAACTCTTTTAATATTAAACCAACAGTATTTAATCTGTTGTAAGCAGTTTCTAGTCTATTACAAACAGTATTTAACTTTCTGTAAGCAATTTTTTGTCTATTGGAAACTGTGCTAAGATTCTGCAGACAGTATCTATCTTCTACAAGCAGCTTTTAGTCTTCTACCAACACTATTTAACTTTCTATATTTTAATTCCCTTGCACTGGTCAATTCTTAATGATCTGTAAGCAATGTCTAGTCAATTACAAACAGTCTCTAATCTTTTAGAGGCAGTATCTGTCTTTTTCCAACAGTATTTTGTCTTCTGCAAGTAGTATTTAGCCTTTTATACGCAGTATCTGTTTTCTGGATGCTCTTTTAATATTAAACCAACAGTATTTAATCTTTTGTAAGCAGTTTCTAGTCTATTACAAACAGTATTTAACTTTCTGCAAATAATTTTTTGTCTATTGGAAACTGTGCTAAAATTCTGCAGACAGTATCTATCTTCTACAAGCAGCTTTTAGTCTTTTACCAACAGTATTTAACTTTCTATAATCAGTTTCTAAACTATTCCAAGCAGTATTTAATCTTCTATAGGTACTTTCTGTCTTTTGCAAACAGTTTATGGTCTTCTGCCAACAGTATTTCACCCTCTGAAAGCAGTTTCTAGTCTATTGCAAGCAGTATCTAGTCGTCTATGGGCGATATGTCATCTGCAAGCAGTTTTTGATCTTCCACCAGCAGTACTTAACCTTCTGTAAGCATAAGTACATTTGTAATTTGTAAGTATTGTTGTTTTTTTAATTTAAATTGTAAGTCTTGGCCTTGTTTGTTTTGATTGAATAGTTTTACCCTGAAGAAGGATTAAATTTTGTTCCGAAAGCTTGGTTAAAAGAAAAATGGACAACTTCTCTTTTAATTCCCTTGCACTGGTCAATTCTTAATTATTTGTAAGCAATTTCTAGTCTATTTCAATCAGTATCTAATTTTTCATAGGTAGTATCTGTCTTTTGCCAACAGTATTTATTCTTATGTAAGCAATACTCAGCCTTTTATACGCAGTAAGCTCTGCAAGCTCTTTTAGCATTAAACCCATAAGTATTTAATGTGCCGTAAGCCGTATTACAAACAGTATTTACTTTCTGCAAGCAATTTCTAGTCTATTTCAAGCAGTATCTAGCTCTTTATAAGTAATATCTGTCATCCACAAGCAGCACTGGCTAACGTCGTTCCATACAAAGACCTCCAAGTTGGTCAAAACATTGACCAACTTCAACCATCAATAAATAACTTTAACTTACAACAGTGTTTAGTGTTATATAGGCAGTAGATGTTTTCATAAAGCAGTTTTTAGTTTTCAATTTTCACTATCTAGTGTTCTGCCAGTAGCATCTAATCTTTAGCAAGAGCATCTGGTCTTATTCTTCAATTAGCAGTATCTAGTCCTTTGCTATATGCAGCTAGTCTTCTGCCATCATTACCAACAGTTGTAATTACGTAAGAATCACAAAATACGATGTTTTTGTGTAACTTAATTTGTGTGTTGAATTTATTTAACTCCTTATTTCAAAACAATCGGATAAAGAAGAAAGGGCTTGTTTATTTTGGCACGGGCAGAGAGACGTGACGTGAATTATACCATCAGTGTCACGATTTTGAATATTTTATCCCCTCGACGCAGCCACCGCCCGCGCCACTTTTCCGAATATAAAGCGTCGTAACTTGACATTCTGCGGTCCCGTGCAACATTTAAGCGGCTGGATAAAACTTGTACGCTTTTAAAATCTTCTTTGTATACTTGGTTCTTTTATAAACAAGCAAAAATGAAGAGGCAGACATGAAATATTTTAAAACAATATTAAAAATAGTAATATTTTTGTTGTAGAAACGAAAAAGAAGTAATTTGGATCGTAAACAACGCTGAGTTATTACAATGCACCTCGTTGAATTTAAATGAGCGAGAAATATTAATTCAATTTTTGGGGAATGCCCCAGGGAAAAGGAGTAGAAGTGGGGTGGTGGTTATAATCCGGGAAGCTTGCGTAAATTTTAGGGGTGAGCTGGCCGGATGTAGATA